TTTCGGGAAATGGATGATGCACGAGAAAACTTGATTGAAGGATCATTCCTAATCCCATTCCACATAGCTCGCCAACACACCACAAAACCGCATCGGAGCCAAATCCTCCGCACCGCCTGAAGAACCTCTCCTCGCCGACGATGCAGCATTGCAGGCTCGGTTAGATAATTTGCGGAGGGAGTAGTGAGTGGGCGGTTGCCCCTGCTCCACTACTCCTCTCGTCGTTTCGTCCGGTAAGCTTTTCCTATCTTGAAGGTGGGGCTTTCGAACTGAGGTTCGTCGCGCCAGGATCCAATAGCGCCATCCTTACTTTCTTTTCTCTCTAATTCGAATTTTCAGATGCTTCCTCACACCTTGGGCATTTTCCCGTCCTTTCCTTCCTTCACTTCGCTATCTTCGCAGCTGGGCCAACAAGTTTGATTTGTTTTAGTTGTTAGTTTCGTAACCAGAATCCATGTACTTTTTTGAAATATTCGTGTTATACCCCCCCTTTCAAGCTTGAAATAATTTGATAAAATTGTTATAGTTTGGTCTCACCGCTTTGTTGTCTTACGAGCTTTGCAGTTTCTTCTTTGTTTCAAGGAGAGGGCACATCCTGGCAGAAACCTGACTCTCTCTCAAGTCCGCAACATATAATCAGATATCGAACAGTAACAGAAATGCCTTTGGTGTGCGATTGGTATATTACAGGTGAAATTGACTTTTTGTATCCCAAATTAAAAACTATGCCCCGCCACATGCGTCTCCTCCTTCCGTCAAGGATATATACATGAAATACTCTTCCGAAGCGATTCCCGCAACTGGCTACGCCCTAAACTCTCGACGATTAACTATCGTCGTACTATACTAGTCTGCAATAACTGGTCGAGTTCGGCTAAATCTCTCGATATGGCTTCTGCAAGGGTGTCGGATGGTAGGGGTATGGTGTCGGCTGCGGGCGATGCGGGAGTGAGTAAGGTGATTTGGGCAGATGAAGATGGGTTATGTGGTGGAGCGGGAACAGGTGTGTGCATCGGAGGCGTATATCCAGATGTGTTGGTGGAAGTGGATGGCGATGGTGGCGATGCGGATGGAAGTGGGGATCGATAACGATACGACCGGGAGGGAGATGATCGAAAGGGAGAAGATCGTTTGGCGGGACGGGAGAAGCCTAGGTATTCTCGCACGGCGTCTTCTAGGTCGGATAGTTCGTTAGGGCGTTTTTGTGATATTGGGGTGTGTGGTGTGATGGAGACGAGTGGATATGTAGTTGTGGGGTTAGACGCAGTAGGTGTAGGTTGTGAGTCTACAGATTGGGCACGCGGATGGGAAGACTGATCCGACACATCTACCCTCCTATCCCCATCCCCAAAAGACCTTCCCTCCCCCCGCAACACAGCCGCACTTCGTCGTCTCCTACACCTCCGTACGCGTCGCTCGGTACTCTCAGCACGAGCCTCCTCCCGCCGTCCCACCGTTCCGAAAGCCGGCATCGAAACAGTTCTCCTTAAACTTCGACTGCTACTCCGCTCCCTACTCTCCACCGCCCTTCTCTCGTCTAACCGCAACTCCGCCTCCACTTCCCGTAACACCTCCCTCTCGCGCTTCCAACTTGCGTAGCAAGAGACACCCATAGCAAGGGTGGCTATTACGCCAGAGTATATTAGCAAGTCCTACGTATGAAAGATGAATGTTAGGGTACGTAAAGTACGTCTTTGAGTGCAGTATGTTCCCCACCTTGCCCGTTAACCTGACCAGGTTAGTTACTATTGTACGCATTGTTTGAGGTTATGACCGAGATTGGGTCAAAGTTTGTTGGAGGGGTTTGATAGTAAATAATTGGGCCCGTCTGGCGGCCTTTGACTAGAGGAGCTCTGGCAGACCTTGTGCCGACTATTACTAGATACGTAGCACTCGATGATGGGCCTAGGCGTTTCCGCTTGGAACGAAACGATGCTCAATGCCGAATTTACTGCGCAACGTAAGTACGTAATGGGTTGAAAGCCGTCAGGACTCAGCGCGGTGGGCAGTTGGTCACATGACTCACATCACCACAACCTCGTCTAGTGCCCGCAGGGCTTGGGCCAATAGATTACCTGGCTTGGTGTGCCTATTTCACCCAATCTGGACATACTGTTTGTGTAACATTGACACCACGGCTTACGCTAACCTTGCTGCTGCGCTCATCAGCTTTTCTACCCATCACACACAGCGGTTCGCATGCTTTTCTATCAAATACAATCCTGCTATCAGCCTCGCTGGAAGCAATTCTCTCATATACAGCCCCGTCATGCCAAACCTCCAAACTCATTTTCGTCGAGTGTTGAGCGTCAAGCGGAGCCCGCGAGTCCTATCCGCCCACACTGCCCACTTCCATACACCGATCCCTCTGCGCAAAGAAGTGGATCCCCGTCCATACTCTCGCTGGGTCAATGCGGAGGTAATTGATATTATCTGTCGCAAAGGTATAGTGAGACATCCCTCGCACCGCTATCTCTATATTTTTTTTTGAAAAGACCTAACGGGTTCTCGTAACAGGCATTGAGTCACACCGATCACAGCTTGAGCGGGCTCTTTCGATGCCCCCTCCGCCAATTGAAGGTAAACCTAGCAAGTTCCCGGCAGGAGGAAGCATAAATTGACGCTTCACTTTAGGCGTTACTGAGCACATCTTCGTCGATGCAAACATAGCGCGCTACTACGCAAGTGGTCGATCCCCGCTACTGAACGCTTGGTTGAACCACTCTCAGCGTAAATGCTACTACACTCCTACAGTTTCGAGAGTCAGTATTAGCGATCATATCGAGCTTGCACTCTATATGATACTTACTCGCGCTATCCTCAGCAACTAGCGCCTAAATCCAAGGACAAGCTAGGGGATAGATTCCGCTTCTACAATACTCCTTACGTTTCTAGTAGAGCGGAAGACATGCTGGAGGTCATTGCTGAGCATGCAAAAGCAAATCCCGAGGTGTTGGAGGCTTCTAGTGCGGATCTGACAATCATTGGTGAAGTTTCTGTCTCCGTTCCCAATGGTGATTTATGAGAGTTGAGATTTGCGCGTGGTCAGGTTCTAATGACACCATCATCCAGAATGGGACTCCTCCATCGATCCACCGCCCTATCTCATTACTGCCAATATGAACTTATTCGAGTCATTTTTGAAGAATGAGTACAGTGCCAGGGTAACCGCATATGCGGTGGAACAAGCTGGTAATGGAAGATTGGGAACTGGACAAGGTTGGGTGATCAAAAGTTGCTGAACGATTTATGTTTGCAGGCCTTGATCACATCCGGGAGATTGTTTGGATTCAAGATATTGGTTTAATGTATGACGAGGATGCGAAGGTCTTCAAGAAAACATTGATGGATGGTCCGTACTCTGAGGCAGGGGCTGATGTTGATGATAAGGCTCGGTATGCCGCGTTTTATCGTCGTCTCGAGTGGCAGGGCACTCCGGGAGATTAATTGCGCAGTGATCTGATTCTGCCCCACATTCATCTAACCTGTGGTCAAGCCGTCGAAGAACCCAGTGACGAACCTCCCGGAGGGCAGAGTCGTGGAATTGAGTGATTGTAATAGTATCGCCAGTAGCGGGCTAAGAATTCGCCATGAGTAGCTTCGAATGAATACACAACCTTGGCAGCTCAACAGCAGCTCTCCACTTTGCAGTGTGACCCGTGAACCTCAACTACCAAATTATGCAACCTCACCGCTGCATTCCCTTGCAAATCCCCACATTTGTATGCCATAATGCATTCTCATGTGTATTTTCCCCATCATCATTCAATATTCCATACTCCCAACTGCAACCTGCAAAATCCACGATCACAGTGATTCCAGCACGACAAAAACAAGATACAAAAAATATCCAGGAAACCTAGGCGGAAAGCAACGCAGTTCCTCGTCTGTCCGAAAAGGGCGATGAGGAAGCCCATTAATATGTAGTCTCGAATCCGGCCCCTGTGGACTTTGTCACGAGGGCTCTGATGATTCCAGAGGTGCAAACCTGGAACGACGCGACCCGAGGGTCTGGTGAAGCTGATTAGGTAATGGACACAGCGTTCCTCTGGTCGTGACAATGACTGGAATGAGTCACACTGACGCATAGTGAGGATCCGATAGCTATCATATCGATGTAGTTCTGGCTAAATGTTTGCAGCGACCCCATCAAAAGCACGGCCAACTGGATTTCCTCTCCACTTCTTCCTTCACTCACAAACATTTTCCGAGGTCGACATGGGTTGAATCCCCACCAGCATTTTCAAAATGCGCAGGTACGCACATGTCTCTACGTCCCTCGCTTTCAACAAGCTAACATACTCCATCCATCCATCCATCCAGTGTCACACCTCTTTCAAGACACAAAGTCCCATGCGTCGTCGAAATGGGCAGACAACCAAGGGCTGAACGCCCCACAAGCATGTTGATCATGCGAGGTGGGTATCCGAAAATGCGTTCCTTCTTTTTCATCCTCACTTGTGCCTAACCTGCCATCCATCCATCAAGGGTTTGTCTACGGATACCATCGGCGTCTACAAGACAGGGCAGAGTCCCTAGCGGCACATTCGCGCCATACAAGGTATGCACTTTGGTCGTAAGGTCCCGCCATTCAAGATCAATAACCTTCTCCTCTCGTCTTACTATCAGGGCTCCTAACGCCGAGGCCCGCTTCTACCATGGGGTTGAGTCCCCCACTGGCCCGGAAACCACACAAGGTACGTGCATCTCGCCACAAACAAGTCGTCAACTCGCTCTAACTTCAAGTACAGGCCAACACCGCCTACGAGGTCTTGCTGGTTTCTCCCCACAGGTGTAAACTTTGCCTCCCCCTTCAGCAGGTACCCCACAGAGTCCCTCGAGGCATATAGGAACGCCACAAGAACGGCAAGACCCAACATGGGGGGTTTACTCCCCCCAAAAAAAAATTATAAAGAACTCATCTTGCGTCGCATCTGAGGGTTTCCAACCTCGCGGCAGCGGTTGTTGTCGCGGGGAAGGGTTTCAAGCGATGTTCGCCACCTCTCGTAGCTTAAGGTAGAGCGACCACCCTTTCTGGGGGTGGTAGACGCTGGTTCAAATCCAGTCGAGGGGTATTCTGAGTCTTCTGACTGGCACATGTCCGGATTGTATAATAATGATGCCGTTGAGGCCAATGAGTGTAACAGGAATGGTGCGATTGTCCTGCGAATCATGATTATTTTTCATTCTTTTGTGCCAATGATTGTCGTCTATGTGAACACCTCCAATTCTTTGTGGCAATGCGTGAAGTGTGTGTGGACGTCTTGTTGCCTGCTGTCGGCAGCATCTCCTGCTCTCAATAAAATACATAAAATCCACATCCATTGCTATTGAACAGCGCAAACGCACACTTCCAGCATTATTTACAGAAATTCAAGTAAACCCCCCACCATGCAGTGCACAAGCTTCCCCATAATCCCTTTAATCCCCCTCCCGCCTCCGCCTCCCCCCCCCCCCGCCCCCCCCCCGGAACCGGCGCACCCGCCAGCCCGGCGTGCGCCACCGGGAGTGCCCCCCCCGGCCGCCCCCGCCCCCTCACCTCCTTAACCTCCACAAAACTCAACCGCTGCTGCCTCAACCTCCTCCCCGTCGACACAGTGGCACTCGTCCGCGGCGGCGTCGCAACGACCTCCGTCACAGGCTTCCTCCCCGATGACGACGCCGACGACGGCACAGAACTCTTCCCCGCACTCCTGGGTCGACGCTGTACGCTCAACGGTTTGCGCGTCGTCTTCCCGCTTCGGGTCGTAGTGTCCGGTTTGGGAACGTCCCGCATGCTAGGAGTAACTGGTATCGATACATCCATCGCCATATGTTTGCCCGCATGAGGAGGTGACGGAAAAGGTTGGCTATTCACCGTCACCATTCCACCATCCCCACCATCACCATCCGAATCCCCATCATCATAAAGCCCACTCAACGTCAACGACGGCGGCGCAGGAGCTTCCACATTCTTCCCCTTCACCCTCCCCTGATCGCCATGCCCTCCCTTCCCGCCACCCTGCTCAACCTGCTTAACACCAGAATGCACCCCAACCGCACTCCCACCCCTCCTACGATCCAAAACAGCCCTTGAGAAATCCGACAATAAAAGCGCTACCTCATCCACCCGTTCCTCTTCCCTCTTGACCTCCGCCGACCGCCACGGTACGGATCCCAACCGCTGTTCAACTTCCGGCGCATCATCCACAACAATCGTAGATGTCTCTCTATCCGGTTTCTGATCCCGCACCGGCAACTTGCGTTTTGGTCGTGGCTGGACGGGTGACGGGATGGGAGGCATTTGTATTGTCGTGGGAGTGGGCATTGGCATTGGATGTGATGCCGCGGATCGTGAGGTGGATTCGGAAGAGACGGGTGGCGCAAGGATGGAAGGAGCAGGAAGGACCTGATGAGGACCTGCTAGCGACAGTTGCGGGATTTGATGCAAAAGAGACAGGGGAACGAGGACGTATTGGTCCATCTGTTTCAGCGGTAAGGGTTGCGGGACAGGCGGTACGTTCTCAACCTTTTTGTCGCCGTGAGAATGTGCGGGTTGCTTCACCGAGTCCAGAAGTGTCAAGTCTACTCGTTGGTTGCCTGTTTCAGTCTTCTCCTCTTCGATCGCTACCCTCGTCCTCTTCGCTCCAACATCCGTCCCCTCTGGCGCCTCCGAACTGATGTCACCAACGCTATCTAGTTGCTCCAGATACCATTTTCGTTTCCGCCCTGCGGAATCTGAGGTGACTACACCTGGCTGCTGGTCGAACATTATGTGAGATATCGTTGTATCGAGTGCACGGGTCTCTCCATTGATGTTCCCGGTTCCCAAACTGCCCAAAACGTTCAGTCCCATGACCTCTGTGGGGCTCTCCGTGGTTCCTAGAATGTCGCTCAGAGGACCGTAGTCGCTGGCGTCCGCTACAGGCAGACTCTTTGCATTATTTGCAGCAACTCCCAATCGCGTCTTCCCATTCTCCCCTGGATCTCTCCCCGACTCGTTCGCCACCTGGGGACCAAACCTCGTCATCCGAATCTCGCTCCACTCCTCTCCTTCCTTATACACTCCAAACCGCCCCACATTCTGTTTCGAAGTACTCGACCTGGGCACCGGTACGCTTGTCCTCCTTTCCTTCTTCACAACATCCTTGACCGCCTTCACAATTTTGGCAGGCCGGGTCGACGTGATGACAATGTTCTTATCCCCATCCTGATATGTCGCTCCCTTCTTGGAATCAAAGGAAACATTCACTTCACCAATAGACCATAGATCGTCCCAAGTCGCTTTGATGAGCGGGATGGGATGGTAGTCGAACACTTCTTGTGCATGTTTGCGGAAGGCCGTGGAGTATTTTCGAATGCCCTGTAAAATAATGCTTGTGTGAGGTACTGTTGAGCTGCATGGAAGAAGGTGCCCGTATCTTACAGCTTTGAGCATCTCCCTCTCGGCTTCCACCAGGGGCTTGAAGGGCAACAAATACCATCTCTGCAGGATATATCAGAACAAAGGTTCCTGCGAGGCTAGTAATATTGCAGTATGAATTCACCTTGATCGGATTATCTCCAGTCGCCCTCGTACACGTATTTCGCTGCCTGATTTTGAGTTGCGAAACGGTCCTTGCCGGCAAAAAATGTGCTCGTATAGATTTCATATCAGTCGATCCATGCGCGTTCAGCCCCAATGCCAACAATTCATCCTCCTGTTTTGAAAACTCCGGCTTTGTCGAATTGTGGTATTTCACTGAAAAGACATCCGCGATGTGAGAAGCAAATCCAAAATCAAGATCAATCAGGGATGACAACCGCATACCAGGAACAATATGCAGCTCCGTCGCCTCATCAACGTCTCCAACTGCTCCTACCATATCCCTCAAACACTGAGGAAGCGAGATCGGCTTCATCGCGTTTAATTCCGAGTTCGCTCTTTTTGACAAGAATTTCCCGATTTCGTAGTCGCCTCCCCCCTTCATTTTCTCCACGTATCTCATCTTCGAAATCTTCGTGTGGTGCTTTGCGTACTCGCTAGCAAACTGCTTGATTTCTTCGTTGCACTTGTGAGGAGCCAGAAGATCGGAAAGGCGAGAGAGTGCAGCATGATTAAACAAGGACCCCCGTGGATTGGATATGCTTTGTTTCTGGGCAGATTGTTTGTGGGTTTCCAGAGTTTCCTTGATAGTGATGACATGTGTAAATACAGAACGCAATATATGTAAAACCATGAAAGAGAAGCGTACCAGCTGTCTCTTCCAATGATCTGCTTCTGGGGATTTGCTTCCGTGAATGACTTTTTGAACCCCATATGCCTGAACAACAAGCTGCATGTTGCTATTCATCTGTTTCCGCAATCGTTCAAGCTGGTCAATGCTGAAGCCATTTCTGCGCGTAGACGAGCATTTGTCAAGCCAATACATATACCAGAAGGATGAACTATAAATGCATTTACTCACTGAGCATTCGAATACCACGCTGGCACATTGCTGGGCTGAACCAGCGAAATGATGTTCTCCGACTCCGAAGATTCACCCAATTCTTTGAACAAGGAATCGATTTCGTGCCCTAACCATTCAAAATTGGCTCAAAACGGAGTTACAAAAATTATCAACACGTATCAGTACTAACTGGGTAACGACTGGTTCACAGCGACCTCCGCCCCTGACTCCTCATCGACCCTCGACGCACTTTCTGAAGTTGACTCCCTCTTCCGCGGTTTGCGAACTCGCTTGGGTTTAGCCGGCACCGCGAAAACTCCTTCATCTCCCGAACTGGGCTGAGGTATTGAATCCAGATCCAGTGCGCTTGCCGATGTGTAGAATTGCGGAGGCAATGCTGATGGATCAGCACTATCCAGCGTCAATGGAGAGTCAACATGCGCCATTGCACGGACGGGACTCGACAGGAGCCATGACATGTCGTCCACATCGGTGGTGCCGAGCACGTCGGAGAAATCGATGTCGACACCAGTAATAGGAATGTCGACTTCGCTGGACATGTAGTTGAAGTAGCTGTTCCCCGCGTCTGTTCCCAGGTCCGATTCCCCCAATAGAGATCCTTCTGCACCAAGGTTGCTTTTCCCGAAATGAGTTTGCGACCCCAATAGTCCGGTGAAATCTTGATTCGACAAGGCACCAAAGCAATTGTCTTGTGCTACGGCTACTACAGCATATCACCATCATTAAGCGTTTGCGCATTTTACTGTATGCAATCCTTTGGTCACCATACCTTTTCTGCCAGCACCAAGTCCAAGGATCTCCTCCAAGCTGTCATCATGCAAGGACAAATTTGACATATCACCGGGATGGGCAACTTGAGCAGTTTGATCAGTCGTCACATATGTCGCTGTCCCATTCACTACGCCGTATGAGAGCGAGTTGGAGAACTCCGTGCTTGCATCCAAAAGCGAGGGGGTATCCAAAGTCATTGTTGTGTACCAACCCAAATCCCCTACATTGGATTTTTGACGTGAGTCCACCCCGTCAAGCAAATTTCGACCAAGATCGCCCGTCATGTCCATCACTGATCCCATGTTTATGGAATGTGAAGCGCGTTGTTGGGAAGTCGCAGGGAGTGACGAATAGGGAGTGATTTTGCTGCCGGACTGCGCAGTCGCACTTCCGAAAGATTGGTCTTTTTGCTGGGCGAAATCGGGGCTGAATTCTGGGACCTGCGACTCTGTGAGTGCGTTCTGTACTCTCGCCTCCCGACGGCCCTGAGGGGTTTCCGAACTGATGGATTGTGTTGGTGTGGATTCCGACGGACGAGCTGCTGTGTTTGGCATGTCTGAATTGGTTGCCGTGGAAGAACGTCTTCTCCGATAGTTGCGTTTTGCCGCCTTCGGTTTGGTCTTCTCCGGCACAATGGACCAAGAGTCAGCTGAAGAGTCACCAATGCTGCAAGTGGATTGGCGTCTGATGGTATGGTACTGTTGTGGTCGGTCAGGCAATTGTTGAGGATAAGGTAAGGGCGGTGACTGTGTGGAAGGTCCAGAGGTTTGGAAGAGATTCTGTGCGGGTACAGTTGTTTTGAGAGGTTCCGACTGCCGAGAACGTGAAAAGCGAGATTGAGGGTTGTTCAAACGAGGGGATAATGATTGTGCGG